GGGGCAGGATTACCCCAGGTGAGACCCTGGGTTAAGGGGTCCCACTGACCCCCAGGACCGCCTGACCTGCAGAGGTGCCAGGGGGCTGCATGCATTTAAGTATGCAGCCTGAGTGGCAGGGGAGAGGCGACTCGCACGCTGGGGTCCCCTGGAGTGACCGTCCGACCATCGGGGACTTATTCTGGTGTCTAGGTGAGTAGGGATCATATTCAACATTTTTCCAAATAATGAATGCAGGGTCCCCCCTTGGCACTGTGATGCTGAGACGGGCTGTTCTCTGTGGGGCGTTGGGCAGCCTTCCTGGCCCCGCCCACTTGATGCCAGGAACCCCACTGGTGACAACCACAGATGGCTAGACCATCCCCAGGTGAAAATCACCAACAGACGCTTCATGGGAAAAGTACAGGCTCTAGGTCAGCACGAGTCAGATTTTCTGGCCAAATGACTTTGCTGCAAGCTTTCAGAAGTCTCCCGTTTGCTGAGAATTTGGGTTTCAGAAGTACAGAAAAGGGACAGCGGCAGCGGCCGACCCGGCACGGTGCTCGACCGGGTGGTCCTTGGAAACTGCGGCTTCTCGCGCCAGCCAAGACGGCCGGAGCGGAGGGCGGACCGGCTGGCGCACCTGTGCTGCACGTGGGGCTTGAGATGGACAAACCTCTGCTCCCCAGAGCCGGGCCCACCCTCACACCGTGACGGCGCCGGCATCCCTTGGAACAATCACAACGGGCAGGGCCTTGGCTGCTGGACGACATTCTCAAAGGCCTACTGTCTCTCTGAACAGGGAGAGCTGTGTGTGCTCTCGGAAGGCCCGCCCGGGGCGCAGGGTGTGGGCTGAGCCTGGGGAGGGTGGGCGGACGCTGGCCCTGTGGCCCGCGGGCGTCCTGAGCCTGCCCCTCTTTGGTGCCTTCAGAATCCCTTCCAGCGTCCGGTCTACCTTATCATTTTATCATTAAAAAAAAAATGTTAGTCTCTAGTCCTTTTATTTCCCTGCCCAGAACTGACCATTCAAAAGGGAAAAACGGCACACCTTACTAAAAACTAGTAACCCGCCCCCCACACCCCAGGGAGAAGCACCTGCTTTCTGAAGGACGGCCCGCCCCTTCTGTGGGTGCTCGTCCCGCCTCCGAATCCACAGCCCTGTCACAGACACAGTGCCCACAAGCTGGGGCGGAGCTCCTTCCCCACCAACCTAGGACCCCTCAGGTACCCTAGAAATGCTGCCCCAAAGTTAGAACTCGGGTTTGAGCGCACCCCCCAAAGTGCGGCCCTGTTTTCTTCCAAAATGACGCCAGGATGCCCTGTATGCCTACAAACCCTCGATAGCGCCCTGAAACACCACGAGTGTGAGCACACGGCCCCTTGCCACATGGCATGTCACCTGCTGGGCCCATCCAAACCCTCTGTGCTCTGATCAAAACTGCTGCTCACCTTTCCTCCGACCCGTCGGGGAAACTCACTCCCCCTTCACCATCGAGCTGCAAGGCCACCTCCTGAGACAGACCGGGACTCCCTCATCTTCCCGCAGAGCCCCAGTGTGGCACCCCAGCAGACTGGGAGCCATTGGACAGATCATCTTCCTTCGAACCCCAGTGCTTGGGGGCGTTTGATCTGTGTGGACTCAGGAAAACAAGAGGTCACTGTCCGATTCGGAGCCACACACCCGGGCCCCTCGGGGAAGTCACTCTCTTTGGGTCGTTTCCCCATTAGAGTTTTGGTCTCGCTTCCCTACTCACAGTCCCCTTTATGCCTTCGGCCTCGCCGGGTGCTCTGCGCCTCAGCCAGTGCTGGCTCTTGGCAAAAAAATAAGCAGGATCCAGTGGGATTGTACACAGCCCGGGGGCCGGGTTTTAACCCCACCTAGAGCCGCTCACCCTTCCAGAAGAACTGAATTGTGACGAGCAGGTGAAACCCCCAGAGCGCCAAGGACATTCCGGGCCCTGAGCTAAGCGTTGTACACGCGATGGCTTATTTCAGGAGCCAGCCAACATTTTCTGAGAAGCGCCAGAGTAAATTTCTTCAATCTTGCAGGCGGAAAGGTCCCTGTGGCAGCGACTCACATGAGGTGAGTGTGATTGGGCCTGGCTGTTTCCACGAAACTTCACTTACTAAAACAGGCTGCAGCTGGATGTGCTTCCCTGATCGCGGCCAGGCGAGACCCTGGATTGCTTCACAGAAACCCCATTCTCCAGAAGGAAAAACCGAGGCTTAGAAAGATAAGGTCACCAGGTTAAGACGACACAAATTAGGAGTTTTGAACCCAGGCCCAGAGCTTAAGCTCCAAAGTACCCTTTCCTCTCCCGACGAAACTGGGTGTGCAATCAAAACCTTGCATGTGGTTTTGGGGGTTCACTTCCCCCTCTCCCTGAAGAGCTCCTGCTGGTGAAGAACCGCTAGTCTAGGGCAGGGTTTAACTTTGGGACTGCTGACATTCACGGCCCATCCATTCTCTGGAGGGCATCCTGGGCCCTGTGGGGTGTTGAGTAGCATCCCTGGGCCCCCTCCCCCCAGTCACGATAACCACAGACGACCCATCGCCCAATGTCTTCTAGAGGGAACAAAACCACTGGTCTAGGGAGAGGAAAAACAACCTAAAAAATAATCGCGGAAACGACACAAAACAGGAACGTCACTCACTCCCAGATGCAGGGGATACACACATTTTCTGACATCAAATCACAAAACCAGCCATCATCCACTGAGCTCTTAACAAGCACCAGGAACCTCACTGGAAAATGCTCTAGAGTATTCAACCTCACAATGACCCTAGCAGGCACGTGTGTCTACAGTCCCCACTGCACACACAAAATGATGCTCAGAGAGGAAAAGCGACTGGCCCAAGCTCACGCGGCCAGTCAGAGGTGGTGGCGAAGGTCCTCGAGACCAGATTTCTCCCGAAGACCCTACGTGTCAAGTGAGACTGACTGATGACCCCTCTGGGCTTTCACTGGGCTCTAAGGCTTGAACCCTCCCCCGATCCCCGGGGAAGGGACCGTGACGACTCCCCTTTTGCAGAGGGCAAAACTGAGGCTCTGAGAAATCGAGAGGCTGGTCAAGGTCCCCCAGGTGGAGAGCGTCGGCGCTGCGACGGGAACCCCGATGAGAACACCACGAATAGAAGCCCCCGATTCAAAGGAACCGTGTTTCTGGGGAGCAACGGACACCCAGCGAGCGAGGGCGCTTCTACGTCCTGTTGTCCACCCACAGGCCTGAGAACCAGTATTTCCGGAGTCTGGGGTCCTAACGAGGAAGCCGGGGCCAGCAAGGGCCCGCTCGACGCCGCCTGGCCTCAGTTTCCCCTACGCGCCGCCCCCTCACAGTACCCCATGGATAGCGGCGGCCCCAGCCCCAGCCTAACCTCCCCTTATGGGCCCTGGAGCCCCGGGAACTCCGAGCAGTGGACCTCCAGACTCGCCTGGCTCAGCGCCGAGCCCCCCACTCACCTCTCAAGCGGCCGAACCCCGACCCACCGACGGCTGCGCCTGCGCACCGCGGCGCTCCCGGCCCCGCCCCCCGAGCGCCGCGCCTGCGCGGAAGACGCCGTCCGGCTCGGCCTGTCCTTCTGCGCAGGCGCGGCAAGTATCTCGGCGGGCGTGGGGGCAAGTGACGCAATTTAGAGGCGTGAACGAGCTGGTCGTTAGGGCAACTGACCTCTGCGACCGAATGGAGGCCGGAAATCAGGGCTGACTGTCTTCTAGAGCGGGAATGGAGCGGAGCATGGTGGGACAGTGGCTGACTACTGTCTATGGCGGAGTAGGCGGAGCCGTTCACGTGGTGCTGAGCCGGCCACGTGGTGCAGTTGCTTTTGGGTCTCGGGCGCCTAGAACGTCACAGGCGCTCTGAATGCGAGCAACTGTTATCCACTATCTTTGTTCATTTATTCACCCGCCCACTCACTCACCCACAAATACATTCTTCCATTCATCCAATGTGTGAAGGAATACAGAGATTGTTCACAGCAGGTGCTTAGTAGCCAGCAAATATCTTAAGCCAACTGTAAAAACTATCAAAGTGTTTTCCCTCATTAGCTTGTACTGGGGTAGACAGATTATGAAATAGTAACCTAGCTCATAAATTACTTCCCCGCTGTGAAGAAAAAATAGGCTGTCGTGGTCGTGAGGAGGTGAATTGGCTGCGATGATTAGGAAGGGACTCTTACATGTGGATTTGGAGGATAAGGAAAAGCACTCCAGGTACAGGGAACAGTGAAAACAAAGACTGACATGGAATTAAACTTGGTGTGCTTAATAGAGGGTGAGTGATGAGAAGTTCCCTAAGGCGACTCACAACTGACCACTAGTGCTAAAGTTGACAGAAGTTTTTCCCGATTCATTTTTTATCCTATTTACAGAAATAAAGGAGGTGGGGTTTTTTTCCCCCGAGTTTATTTCTAGTAAATTTTTCTTTCCGGGTACCTCAGACACTTTAAGATTTTGTTGTTTTAACCGACGACCCTGCATGTAGGTCAGGTTACCGCACTGTTCCAAAACACCCATTGTTTGAAGTTCTAGATCTCTTTACTGAAGCTTTCTCGGTGATAATTGCTTTCGTTTCTGGGATTTTTGTTTGTTCTTTTTAAGGTGGAAAGGGAGCAAGTACAAAATATGGGGACTAGTAGCCCAGGCGGAGAAATACTGGCGGACATAACCACTAACGTTCCGAAGCTCCCAGGCTCAGGAAACCCTGTGTGTGCGGGTTTCCGTGGAAACGCCCCTCCTCCACCCTGAAGGCTCCGCCCCCTCGCCGCCAAGAGCCAATGACAGGCAGGGAGGGCTGCGGGGCGCATGCGCAGAGCGCGCCCGCGCCTCCGCAAGCTTGCCGGGGTGTGGGAGGAGCTGAGGCGGGCGCGCGCCCCGTCCTCCGGCGCACGCGCCCTCCCAGCATTCTGTCGGCGCGCGGGCGGCGGGCGACTCAGTCCGGACGGCTGTGGCCACGGAGCGGACGGAGGTTCCTGGCCGCCGCGGCTGAGGCGGCCGGACGCGGATCAGGTGGAGGGAGAGGCCGCCGGTGCACACCCGCCCGCCATGAAGCCCCCCGCAGGTACCGGCCGCGCCTCGGTGCATCCCCGCTCACCGGACCCTGGCGCCCCCTGCTCCCTCGTGCCTCCTGGGGTTGTGACTTGGGCCTAAGAGCGGAGCCGAGTGACCCTTGAGTGACCGTAGCCCTGGCGGGTGGGGAGTTCGGCGAGCCGGAGACCCGGTCCACTCGGTGGCAGAATGAATGAACTAGCTTTTCGGAGCTTCACTCCCTCAGCCAACTAACTACACCTGCTCAGGACGGGTCGGGCCCCGGGGCGGACTGTGGGGGAGACCACGAGTTCTAGACGAAGTTCCAGAGCCCGATACCTACGTTCAGCAAGCGAGGAAGCGAGCGAGGGCTTTAGAGAGCGGTCAGTGCCGCGGCCGGTGGCGCTTCTTTAGAGAGGGCAGCCCTGGAGGGCTTCTGAGAGGAGGTGGCATTTCAGCATGGGCTCCATGCGGGAGAAGCAGCTGTCCCGTGAAAGCCTCGGGTAGGAACGGCCCACGTGGCAGTAACTGTGAGGGCAAAGGCTGGTAGGCAGAAGTGTACGGCGTTTGGAGAGTAACGAGCCATTCTGGCCAGATCACAGCTTTTATTTTCAAGGCAAATGGGCGCTAGGGGAGGGTTTTCGTTAGGAGAGCAACGTGATCTCTTTAAGGGGTTTTAGAAGATTGCCCAGGTTGTTGTGTGGTGCCTCCTGGAATGTCCTCCCCCAGTTCATTCTCCAGTCTGTTACTATGATGGTGATAATTGTATTAATGATAATAATTACACCGAGGCTTCTGGAGGACTCAGGAAGGCACGAATGCTGTCTCCCGTGTTTGCTGCAGGATTGTTAGCTGCGGGTCAGTCAGTAAATATTTATGGAATGAATAGGCCTGGTCAGTGTTTAGATTCTCGCTCCTCCAGGAGGCTTTTCTGACCACCTTCCCCGAGCCCCGGAGCCCTTCTTTACCACCGAATTTAATACAGACATACAGTCCCTTTTCGGCAGTTTTGAAATCCAAAATACTCTGCAAACAGACTTTCCCTAAGTTTGCAGCAGTCTGGGCACAAAATCTGACCTGTGCTGACTTAAAAGCCTTTTTTCTCCTCTTAGTGTATATCAGTGGTTGGCGATTGGGCTGACTGTGCCCCCCCAGGGTACACTGGATGATGTCTGGAGACATCCGTGGTTTTCATGATTGAGGGTGCTCCTGGTATTACGTGGGTGGGGGGCCAGGGAATCTGCTCAGCACTTCACCCCAGAGAATGACCCAGCCTCTAATGTTGATAAGGCCCTTCCCTAGAGACACCAAACACAGGTCCGAGTCAGCAGCACCTGCAGATACCCCCAGTGTTCCAAGAAGGGGTGTCCGGGACCACTTTGGCCCAGCTCAACTCCCACTGTGCCAGAAGGGGAAGATGAGGCACCGCTGGGGGCTTCCTGGAGCAGCCCCTTCATTACTCATTCCAAACCCACTTCATTAACTCAACAAATAATTTGGCGCAGGTGTAGCCATTCCAGATCTGTAGGTGCTGTAGGGATGCGGTGGCGTGGGCCTCTGGGACAGGAATGTGGAAAGGAAGACGGGCAGGTAGGACTCACCTGCAGGGACCACGTGCAGGAAGACCTGGGGAATGAAGGCCAGTGCGGCTGGACGCAGAGCAGTTGGCAAAGCCAGCTGGCCTAACCTGCCGTGCAGGACCCAGCCGAGTCTGGACAATATGGATCAGGGGTCAGCAAACCGGTATGGAAAGGGCCACATGGTTTATACTTGGCGGTCACACACCCTCCCACGTGAAGTCACTTTTAGCTCGTAGTCTGTACGAAAACAGGTAGGCCATGGTTTGCCAACCTATGGTGTAGACTCTGACAAAGAGTTTGAACTTGAATCCTGAGTGCAGGGTGGAGCCCTGAGATGGGCACAGGAAGCCCAGATGTGCGGATTTGCAGAGGTGGGGTGAGTCCAGTGCGCCGGTTCGCAGCACGGGGCAGTCAGACCGTGTGGGCGTGAGCCCCACTTGCTGGCTGTGGGATCATCGTGGCAGGAGGCTTGCTCTCTCCAAACCTCAGGATGCCCACCCGTGAAATGGCGAGTGGGATGCAGAGCTGAGAATTGTCTGAGAATTTGGCGAGGAGGCGAGCGCAGGACAGCTTACACTCTGAACCCCACCTGGAAGTTGTACAGACCACGGTCTCTCCTCTGAGAGCTCGGGGTGTTCAGTGATCAGGATCCCCCTTATTTTAGGTAATTGGTACCAGTGTCACATGTCACAGCAGGGAGGTCAGGGGTTGCACCCCGTAATCCAGTTATTCTTTGAGAGGAAGGCAGGTATACATGAACGCGCACCTCACCACTGCTGACATTGTGGCGGGTCACCCTCTGGGGGAAACTGGCGGGGCACTGTGGCATGTTGAGCAGCATCCCTGGCCCCACCCCCTGAGCGCAATAGCATCAGACTACAGCCACGATAGCCACTTCCCAGATGTCTCGGACATCACCCAGTGTCCCCTAGGTGCAGAATCGCCTGCTCTGCAGGACCGGTCACCCTGTGCATCCGCACAAAGCCCTGGGCCTCGCCCGTCTGCAGGGGACACGGCGGTCCTCTCCCTCCGCCCCCAGCTGCTCTGTCCCTCGTTCCGGATGTGAAGCAGACGCCCGGCCTGGGCTCTGTCTCCTCCGTGCAGCCTGTGCAGGAGCCGCCCTGGACACGGCGGCCCCCTGCCCCGTGGTGAACTACCTGAGGTGGGACCTGAGTGCCCAGCAGATCGGGGAGCTGACGGTGGAGCTCATGGAGCAGACCAAGCGCGTGTATGACCGCGTGGGCTCCCAGAAGCTCGAGGACGTGTCCTACGAGAGCACGCTCAAGGCACTGGCTGACGTGGAGGTGTCCTACACAGGTAAGACCAGGGCAGGGAGCTCTCGGACCCTGACCGTGGGGTGACAGCAACCACCCTTGGGCGCCGTGCTGGGCGAAGGCACTGATGGGGTTAAAGTCACCCAGCGGATGCCGCCGCCTCCCCTGCGCGCCCTGCTCACTTGGCCACCTGGCACCTCACAGGCGTGTCATCTGAGGGCCCGGAGGGGACAGCGTGTCTAATGGCACCCCGCTCCAAGAGCCAGCTTGGGTGCTGACCTTGAAACTGGAGCCCTTCCCACCCCTTTCTGTGTCCCAGGGGGTATTTGTTTTCTCTGAGAGCTGAACTTGGCCCCTTGCTGTGCTCCTCGTGGTCCCCCTGTGCCCCGGGTAAGCTGTTGCCGTCGCTTGTCCTCATGGCCACCCAGCTGGAGCCTTCTCTCCTCCTTGGGGCCTGTCTGGTCCCTGTCGGGGGAGCGAGGTGCTCGGTCAGACAGATATAAAACCTGTGCCCCGAGTCCCTTCTGTAGAGCCTGACGGTGTGGGGACAAAAGACCGAGAGACGTCACATGACTGAGCACCCCAAGCTGAGGAAACCCCCAACCGCAGGTCTCTAGCAAAAGTCGTTTTCCTGGGAACCATGGAGGGCCCCTGAATTCTCACCGCAGGGCTCCCGTGTGTCCCTGAGGCCTCAGTGTGCCAGCGTCGCCATGTCGAGGGCCGGGCCTGCAGGCCAGGCTCCGTCCCGCCTCTGCCTCGCCCTCCCCGGCTGTGGGCAGGCGGGCGGGCTTCAGTCTCCCTAATTCTCTCGTGGGAGGCTCTCCAGGGTCCAGGGGTGCTAATTCTCATCTCCCAGGCCTAACCCCCACCCCCGCTCCTGTGGCCTTTTATTTGTCTCCACTCAGTAGCCTGGGCAGTTTTAAAGAAAACTAAAATTGGCTCGTGGCGCCCCCCTCGGGCAGCCGCCATTCAGGCCTGGTCGTGGCCTTCGGTCCCTCGCACTGTCGGCCTCCCTCTCCCTCCCCGAGCTGTCTGTCCGGCTTTGTGGCCTTGGACTTGCTCAAGCCCTCTCCTCGTGGCCTCGAGCTCTTCTCACTCCGCTCGTGGGATGTCAGGCTGCTCCCCGACCACAGGAGCCTCTTCTGGGCCCCTCTCCCCCGGCCCGCTGCCTGGTTAAACCCGCCGCGCTGTTCTGCACGGTTCTGATGTCACACTCAATGCAGTCACTGTCGCCTGTCAGCCTGCAAATCCCAAACCCAGAGGCTGGCTCTGTCACTGTTCTTTCTAGGGCAGCCAGTGTCAGGCTCGTCTGGAGCCCCTCAGTATTTAACGCAAGTCAGCTGAGCGGGTCTGTCCTTGTCCCCACCTTCAGAGGTCTGTGTGGTGCAGCTAGACACACCCGACCTGGGGACATTTCATGGCCCAGAACCATGAGGGTGCAGTTTGAATTCAGGTCTCCCAAATGCGAAGTGCGTGCTTTTTTTAAAAATCGCTTTGTTAAGATGCGATTCACGTACGTGCGACCCACCCGGTTACAGCATTACGTTCCCGGGGTCGTCACTGTATTTTCAGTGGTGTCCAACTCCCCATTATCTCACCTTAGAATGTTTTTGTCACCCCCAAAAGAAGCCCTATCCCCCTCCCCAGCCCTCGACACCCATTCACCTACTCTCTGTCCCTGTGGACGTACGTGCCTGTTCTGGACGTTTCACATAAGCGGAATCACACACTGTGTGGCCTTGTGTGTTCGGCGTCTCTCACTGAGCGTCAATGTGTTCAAGGTCCATCCGTGTCGTGGCGAGTGTCAGTGCCTCCTCCCTTTCACGGCTGAGTGACACTGCCCGTGTGCCCGGGCCACGTGCGTCTCTGCTCATCCGTCCACAGGCGTGGGGGTTGTTTCGCTATGTGGCTGGTAGGAATCCTGCTACTGCGCACGTGTGTACAGGTTTTTGTGTGGACGTGTGTTTTCATTTCATGTGAGGGTCACGTTAAAGAGCACGTGTTAGAGCTTGTGCTCTCCCAGCCACCACCCCCCCACTTCCTCCGTTCGACACGGTGTGAATGCGCCCTTAACATTACGCAACCGCGTATGACTTTGAACTACAGCCGTCAGCAGCCTGGCTCTTTTTCCAGAGTGGAGTCCCGCCAGCCTCTCTCAGCCTTGCCATCCTTCTCTGTTACGGTCCTTCTTGGCTTGGAGTGTCGTGAGCTGAATCTGTTTCCATTTGGACTGAGGTCCCCGAGGACATGGGTGACAGCGCCCATTTCTTTATCCCAGTGCCCAGCTCGGGGCCCCGCGTGGAGAATGTTCACCGAATGAATCAACCAACATGGCTGAGTTGCCACTTGCCCCCCGGGGCCCATTCTCACACCCGTCCCGTCGCCTCCCTGTTTCAGTGCAGAGGAATATTCTCGACTTCCCCCAGCACGTTTCTCCGTCCAAGGCCATTCGGACAGCCAGCACGGAGGCGGACAAGAAGCTGTCCGAGTTCGACGTGGAGATGAGCATGAGGCAGGATGTGTACCAGAGGGTCGTCTGGCTGCAGGTGGGGACACGGTGGGGACACGGCCTGGCACATGGGCGGTAGGGAGTGGAGCGGGGCCGCATCAGACTGGGAAGGCAGAAAGCTGAGGACGGGGCTGGAGCTGGCCGGGGCGGCCGCGCAGCGGGAAGGGCCTCGCCCACCCAGCTGTGCCCTTGGACGCGGTTACGATGCAAAACTTTATGTCATGTCAGTTTTACTCCAGTTAAAAAGTCATTTAAAAAACGATGAAGGTGAATGGAGGACAGTATGGGAGTCTGGGGCTCCTCACGCTTTCCTGCACCCGCCATGTCACGTCACTTTATTGACCTGCGGGCACCACCGGGGATGGTGTCCCGCCTCCCGCGTGTGCTGAGCGGGGCTGCCTGACGTGCGCTGGGCGACACGGCACGAGTGTGGGTCCTGCCTCCAGCCGCTGCTCTTCACGGCGAGCAGGGCCTCCACTGCCGGTGATGGGGCTCGTGCCTCTCGTCTCGTTCAGGCCCTTGGAATGTGCCCACGTGGCTGCCTCGCCTGGGGCGGGCCGCGCACTTCGGCGCAGGCGGTGGGGGAGGCGCAGGAGGGGCTGGGTGAGTGCAGGCGGTGCGGTTGGCGCACAGGTGGTGGGGAGGGTCTCAGGAGGACGGGGGATGCTCAGGCGGTGTTGTTTTAATTGGAGTTGTTCCCAAGTTCGCACGCCGTGTGAGAAATCATTCCGAGAAGTCCCCTCTGCACGTCACCCACCTGTCCCCACACCCAGAGTCAGCCTGACAAGCTTTGCACACCCAGAGTCAGCCTGACAAGCAGGTGTCACCTCTCCCCGTATCCCATGGGAGCATATGCCTGCCAAAGGCCTCCGGGCTAGCCTCCGTCTGGGCCCCCCCAGCAAGCGGGCATCCGGGGACGGTTTTGTGTGCGCCTACATCTTTGTCCTCTGCCCAGGGCGCGGGACAGTTGTTTGTAGAAACGGTTCACTTTTCTACAGAAGCACCAAACTGCTTTCCAGAGCAGCTGTACCACGTCGCCGCGCTCGGCGCCATCGGAGCGCGCCAGTCCCTACTGCTCCTGGCATTTGGCTCTGTCACGGTTTTCACTCTAAACAGAACTTTGATTTTTCTCGTCTTAGGAGAAAGTCCAGAAGGACTCACTGAGGCCCGAGGCAAGGCGGTACCTGGAGCGGCTGATCAAACTCGGCCGGAGGAATGGGCTCCACCTGCCCGAAGAGACGCAGGAGGTGGGTGCGGCTCTCGGGGTGGGGGGTGTCCCTGCGCCCGGCCCGATGCCACTTCCTGCTGCCAGGACCCCGTGCCAGAGGTCTGCCCGGCGGCTCTCTCTTCACACCTGCTCTGCCCTCAGTTCTCTGAGGTCACGGGTTCCCTTAGCTGAGCAGGGGGTGCAGGTCACCTCAGGCACCCCCGCCCCCAACCTATTACATTTTGCCGTCCCCATTACTCTCTTCTGACACTAGGTGTGTGTGATGCCACAGGAAGGAACTTCGCCACTGGCTGGGTGTCCTACATTTCAACTTAGGTGGTGCCAGACACCATAGGTTCAGGGCCCAGCCGTCCCTTGTGCTCCTGGCCGAGTGGCTGAAAAGCAGAGGTTCCCACAACCCCCTGTCTTCCGGTCCGATCCATTTACCGGACAGACTCACAGAATCCGCAGAAACATGTTACTCACTAGATCCCTGGTTTAGTGTGAAAGGTGATCACTCAGGAACAGCAGCCGGAAGAGACGCAAGGGCGAAGCGTGGGGACGGGGCGCGGAGCGTCCCTCCCTCCCCGGGGCACCCCTCTCCCGCGTCTGCACCTGCTCGCCCGGCCGGTGGTGGTCACAGCCTGTCCTCGGTTTCATGGTGGCCTCATTACGTCACCAATCACTGGCCAAGTGCCAGGGCTTTCCAAGAGTCACCTCATTAACACAAACTCAGGTGCAGTCGCAAGGGACTCCTGTCACCTTCTCCCTAGAGCTTCTTCAGTTGCTTTTGCACTTAGCGAATTCCAAAGGCTGTGGGAGCCGTGCGCCAGGAATGGGGGCCCAGACCGAATACGTACTTTTATGGTGTCACAGGATCACAGATGGCGTCTCCTGTCCTCCAGCCGGAAACTGGCGCTGGGAGGGCGCCATCCCGGTGCCGTGCTTACCCAGCGGGGCGTCTGCCTCCACCCCGTTGGGCGGGCAGCCCTGGGCCCCTGACAGGCTCACCCTCACCCAGGCAGTTCCTGTCCTGTGTGTCCCCGTCTTGCCCCCTCCCCCAGATCTGCATCCATTGTTAACCGTTTCCGAAAACTAGATTTATACCCCGAAGGGACAAAAGCCGAGCTGTGTTAGGGTGCCCAGAGCTTAGGCTGCAGACGTGGGGGCTCCTGACTAGGAGGACCCGCAGAGCTCCCAGGGGCCCCGGGTCCCGAGGCCGCTCAGTGCAGCAGGCAGGAGCTCGGGCTGCAAACTCGCTCGTCCCACCTTCCGCCTCTTCTATGGGGGGGGCCTGACCCAGGGGGCCTGAACAGCGACGCCCCTTCCTCACGACCCCTCTCTCCCTCAGAAAATCAAAGGCATCAAGAAGAAGCTGAGTCTGCTGTGCATCGACTTCAACAAGAATCTGAACGAGGACACCACCTCCCTGCCCTTCACGCGGGAGGAGCTAGGTGCGCAGGGTGGAGTGGGGCGGGGCCTCCTGGCCTCCTGGGTGTCAGACCACCTCAGGCCGAGGCTTTTGTACTCAGAGCACTCACTGTTTGGAACCTAAGATTCTAGATCCTTCCTTGGGGAGGGCTGGTGGCTGTGATACAGCCTGCGAGGGCCTCCGATGAGGCTGCGTGTCCCGCCCAGCTCTGTGATCAGTGTGGGGCCCTAACCCTTGAGACCCAGGCTCTGTGAGGCCCACAGCCTTTGCCGGGCCTTCATTGCTCCAGGCCTCCAGGATGGCTGCGCCAGAGACCCCGTGGGCACGTGTTTTCCTGAGCAAGTGCTTATTGATCCGTCCCCGCTGGGCTCTGCCGTCCCCGTTCTCATTCCGTTCCCTGACCCTGACAGCCCGTCCCCCTGCATGGCTCCCGACACCTCAGGATGGCCCACGTGTTTCCTGGCCTCAGGGGAATCCTGGGTCTCAAATCCCACAGATGCGTCTGCTCACCCGCACTGGCCATGGTCCTGCTTTGCCATTGGTTTGTCCAGCCCGGGGGCCTCGCTTTTGGCCTGGACTCTCGTGCAGGCAGCTTGAATCCCCAGCACGTGAGGAGGCGACTGTGCCATGCTCTAGCCGGCCTCAGATGCTGCGGTCGCTGGGGAGGGGTGATGGCAGGGCCCGGCTCCGTCTACAGGTCTGGCTGAGTGAAGTGTGGCACTTTGCTCTAATCATAAAAGAGATTTTTGGTGTTAACTTAGGACATCTCTCTATGTCCTTTTTATTCCTGGATTTTAATCACTTGATCAGGTGATTCTCTATCAGGTGTCTCCATTGTCACGTTGCCAGTCTTCCCTTCACGATCGATAATTTTTTGCGAGAAGCGTTAAGACCCTACTCAGCACATTTGTACCCACGAGCTGTAGAGACAAGCAACTCCCTCGTTCTCTGTCCATTTGTCAGTTGGCTTTACCTCGTAGGTCAGAGCTTTTCTCTTGCCTCCGTGTATTTGTTGATTCATCCATTTGCATCGGTGTGGCCTGCAGGGCCTGTTTTATTTAGTGGGTGAATCCACCGCTGTCCTCACGTATTTGATGCTGAGACTGCCCTTGTTCGCCCTCGAGGGCTCCTTCTAGTTTGGCATGTCCCTGGTAGTCCCCTTTCTGACACAGGACACTCAGGCTCATTCTGCCCTTCCCCCGCGAGGCAGGAGCCCCCGGTGGGCTCAGGCTGAGGCTGATGCACGCGGGTCTCTTGTGGGTGGCTGGGCCAGGAGCGGGGCCAGTCGCAGTGCTGGGCTGCTGGGACGGGGCACTGGCACTGTCCAGCGGGGGCGCAGGCAGGGCTGCTGGGCAGGTTGTGTCCACCGTGGTGCCATTTACCGAGAAAGGACACAGGAGGAGACGCAGCCCTGGAAGGCCCATGCCGTCCAGGGTCCAGGCAGATGTAGCTCTTGCCCCCATGGGAGTTCCGATGCAGATGGTAGCAGGTCCCCAAGGCGGGAGAGTCCTCACGTCTGCCCCTTGGGGTTTGGGCCTGGAGGCGGGTGGCCGGAGTCACTGAGTGCAGGGGGGCGGGCCTGGCGCTCCCGCCAGCTCCCGTGCCCAGCCCACCCCTGCAGCCCCGGCTGTGCGCTGCTCTGTTAAAGCTCCTGGTTTCATTCCCAAAGGAGGACTCCCTGAGGACTTCCTGAACTCCCTGGAAAAGACTGACAACGAGAAGTTCAAAGTCACCCTCAAGTACCCTCACTATTTTCCCCTCCTGAAGAAATGCCACGTGCCCGAGACCAGAAGGAAGGTGGAGGCGGCCTTCAACTGTCGGTGCAAGGAGGTGAGGGATCGCCGGGCCTCTTCCTGTCGGGGCCTTGGAGGGTGGGGCCTGTCCCGTTGGCTCAGTGCCGCGAGTCTCCCAGTATACGCCAGGCCAGGTCCAGTGACAGGCGAGGCCCTCAGCGAGTGCGGTTGCCCCTGGAGACACCCCGCAGACTGGCTCTGACCCGGGCGTGGCTTCAGATGTCCATCCCGCATGGGCACATGTGTTCGTGTCCCACCCCAACGTGGCCCGAATAGGAGCAGGTGGGGGCAGTGGGAGGGGCCCCCTTCGTCCTCTGTGGACACTGGTGCTCGGGGCTGGCAGAGAGGAATCACCAGCTGGAGGTCACAGGGTGACATGAGACGCAGGCAGTGAAGTCCTGGGCCCTCCACGTCCGGGGACTGAAGGCAGACTACACCCCAACCATACCCGGATCCTAGATGTGGCCTTGGAACAGGCAGCGCACACAAGCCGGAGTGTGCCTCGTCCAGAGCGGGCCACTGGGGGCCTCGCCCAGGAGCCAGGAGCTCGGGGTCCGGTGGGGTGTGCTGCTTCCTGCTTAGACTGTCGAGACCCTGGGCCAAGGCCCTTGGCTGCCCTGGACTGGAGAGGGGCGGGCATCCCCTCGCCCTCCCCATCCTGGCCGATACTTGACCCGGGGCAGAGTGGTGACCGCACTGCTGGCCGCCAGCCCCGAGTGCCGTCGTCTGCCCGGAGGCTCTCCAGGCTACTCCGGGTTGTAGTTCATTTTCTGTGGACCGATCGTGTTGGCAGGAGGATTCTGTCCTCTGAACGGCCTCTGTCTCCTCGTAAACGAATCAGACGGATGTCGTTTTGTGTTGACTCCACGAGCTTGGTTGGCCGGGTGGACCGCCCAGAGGCCTGAGAGCCCTGTGTGGGGACGACACCCGTCGCCCATGGGCCTGGTCGCTTGTTGGTTGCAGGAGAACTCTGCCATCCTCAAGGAGCTAGTGACCCTCCGGGCCCAGAAGTCCAGCCTGCTGGGGTTCAGCACGCACGCCGACTACGTCCTGGAGATGAGCATGGCGAAGACCAGCCAGGCGGTGGCCACTTTCCTGGGTGACCAGCCTCCCTCCGTTGCCCGTGGGGCTCCGGGAGCAATTATGGGTGTCCTTGACCATGACGGGCTGGTGCTTCTGGGAACTCTGCTCTGTACGCCCAGGGGTGGGCGTCCTGTTGCTTCCCCTGGCCTCTCTGTAGGCCCGAGGGTCCTAATCTAACAGCTGAGCACCGGGCCTCTGGGGAGAGGCCTGCACCCGGCCCACTCAGCCCTTCCCAGCCTGAGGCTCTGGACAAGTGACCCACGTCTGGCTGTCGTTTCTTCCTCATGAAAACGAGGCCCATGACCATTCCCAGGGCTGCCATGGGAGGCGTGGCACTGGCCTCGATCAGCCTCCCGGCCCCGTCCTGTCCTCATGTGGGGTGCCAGCGCCCACATGGCGCACGGCCAGTGCATCGGGAGTTGGCATTGAGGGTGGGGTGAACACGGCAGCTTTGGGGTGCCCGCTGCAGGGAGGTAGCCGTGCCTGTCCCCTCTGTCCCCAGACGAGCTGGCTCAGAAGCTGAAGCCCCTCGGGGAGCAGGAGCGGGCAGTGATCTTGGAGCTAAAGAAGGCCGAGTGCGAGGCGCGAGGCCTGGACTTTGACGGGCGGATCAACGCGTGGGACATGCGCTACTACATGAACCAAGTGGAGGAGACACGCTACCGCGTGGACCAGAACCTGCTCAAGGAGTACTTCCCAACGCAGGCGGTCACCAGGGGCCTGCTGGGCATCTACCAGGAGCTGCTGGGGCTGACCTTCGACCTAGAGGAGCACGCCGCCGTGTGGCACGAAGACGTGAAGCTGTACTCAGTGAGGGACGCAGCCTCGGGGACCGTCATCGGGAAGTTCTACCTGGATCTCTACCCGCGGTGCGTGTGAGCCGGGGCAGGAAGGTTCTGCTCTGAGCCTCAGCCTCCCCCCAACAACGGGGCGCGTGCCGGGCACCGCGCAGGGTGGGGTGACGGGCTGGGCGTGGTCATGCCATTCGGGATGCGGGTGCTCGCTCCTCTACTGAGAACCCTTCGGATGTCCGGTGCCCTGGCTGGCAGGTGGCTTGGTTGAGGGACGCAGGGTCAGTGAGTGGCAGAGCCGGGGGCCATCGTGAGGTTGGTGCCGCTGTGTCAGTCAGCGAGCTGAGTGCGTCCCCCCCCCGCCCCTCCCCAGGGAAGGCAAGTACGGGCACGCGGCCTGCTTCGGCCTGCAGCCAGGCTGCCTGCGGCAGGACGGGAGCCGCCAGATCGCCATCGCGGCCATGGTGGCCAACTTCACCAAGCCCACCCCGGACGCCCCCTCCCTGCTGCAGCACGACGAGGTGGAGACCTACTTCCATGAGTTTGGGCACGTGATGCATCAGCTCTGCTCTCAGGTGGGCGCCCCACCCACCCTGGGTGGTCACTGGGTCTGGAGGCGGGTCACCCCGGGTCGGGTTCTTCCTGTGTTGGAACCACGGGAATGGTGACACTCTTGAATCGGCTTCCATCACAGCGTCCTGCGGTCGGGGGCTTAAATGACAGACAGGGGTTCTCTCCAGCCCTGGAGGCCCCCCTCCTCGGCGGGTGGGCACCGTGTCCTCCCCACCTTCTCATGGGGTCGTCCTCTGCGCATCTGTGTCCTCGTCTCCCCTTAGAAGATCCCCAGTCATGTTGGATCAGGCCCTACTCCAGTGACCTCATTTATCAGCTCTTACCCATCTCCCGATACAGTCACCTTCTGAGGTCCTGGGGATCAGGGCTCCAACATAGGAATTTGGGGAGTCACTGTTCAGCCTGTGACAGCTCTCACAGCTGCCGGATTAGATGACACGTGAATGTAACATGCTCAGATGGCACTCGTGCAGGCCCCATCTCCCGTCAGTCCACGGGAAGAAGTGGTACGTGACCCTGTGAGGGCCAGTGATGGCAACCGGAGCGCGAAGCCCGGCTCCAGGCCCATGCAGCTCGCAGTGAGCCCAGTGAGGGGCGGTGCTGTCCCCTCTTTGTGGAGGTACAGAGGCTTAGGAAGTTGAAGTGACTTCCCCAAAAAGGCCCTCAGTGGCAAAGACAGCTCACTCGGGCTCCTGGGCCCCCAGCCTAGCGTCTGGGCCACGGGCCCCCAGCTGTAACTGGACGTCCGTTCTTTGCCCCCCCCCGCTCCCCTGGACTCCTGAAAGTGAGAATGTGCCGAGAGGCTGGACTGGAGCATGTAGGAACTGGGCGCTCAGTGACTTATAGTCAGTTCATCAAGCTGGGCAGCTTGCATCACTCTGCAGTTCTGGAACATTCCGTCACCCCAAAAAGATCCTTCCTGCCCCTTAGCTGTTGTTCCCCATTCTCTTCACCCTCTCTCCCAACCCCTGACAACCACTCACCCACTTCCTGTCTGGACATGTCACATCAGTGGAATCATACGCCATGTGGTCTTGTGTGTCCGGCGTCTCTCACTGAGCGTTGTGTGTTCGCTCCATCCATGCGTGGCGAGTGTCACCGCCTCCCCCCTTTTCATGGCTGAGTGACACTCCCGTGTGGGCGGGCACATAGTGGTGTCTTTTAACGAGTGTTTTCTGGCACTGGTGAACTTCCACCTGCTAACTGTTTTCTTTCACGTTCTGCATTTTTTGTGTCCTGTTGAAGAAATTGTTTGTTAACCCTGGACACTAAGGTTTTATCCTAATTTCTCTTTCTAGAAGTTTTATAGTTTCAACTTTTCGTGTTAGTCTGCCGTCCGTTGTGAGTTCACCGTGTGGGGGGAGGGAAGGGGCCACCTCCTCACCCACCACAGCAGCTCGGGGGTGTGTGCATGGCGCCGGGGCCCGGGGCACTCCCGCCCCCGCCCCCTCGTCGGTGCCGGCCCCATCCCTTCTCTGTGCGGCGTGCTTGCGGATTATCTCCCGTACCGGAACATCCTGCCAGCGATCTCATTTTCTTTAGGTCTCTTGTGATACAGCCGGTTCTCATTTATAGCAGTTCTGTTTTACGAAGTCCCGCTTCCATCTCATTTTCTTTGACTTCTGATACAGCCAGTTCTCATTTATAGCAGTTCTGTTTTACGAAGTCCCCAAAACCGCATTAGCGGGGGCTGAACCCCTCTTCTGGGAGAAACACAGGTCAGGTTCCTGTGCGCCTCCGCTCCCAGCTTTTCCATTAAGCAGTCAGTTCGTGTGTGTGTGTGTGTGTGTGTGTGTGTGGGGTCAGGTTCCTGCGCGCCTCCGCTCCCAGCTTTTCCATTAAGCAGCCAGTTCCTGTGCTGCGTGTGTGTGTGTGTGTGTGTGTGTGTGTCAAGTCCCCTCGTGGAGTGGGACTGTTCACGTCCAACAGTGCTGTCTGTAACTGCCTGCACGAAGAAGCTTCCCCAATGCAAGTGTTTGCTCCGTGAGGCACATGTCAGGGTCACCAGCCAGAACCTCAGTGCCATGCTGGGGGGCCGCTTCAAACATCGCAGTGCCCCACAAAACCACAAATGTGCAAAACGCAGGGCGCTCAGTGGACCGAGTGAGCATGCCGGTTGCAGTCAGAGCTGACGGCACAGGGCAGAGCTTGGAAGGACCGTGAGAGCCCGAGCCCTGTGGCGGTCAAGTCTGGGTTATAAGTGAACTTTACCGGGTCACAGTTCACAGAGACAGAGTCCGCGATTCAGGAGGACGGGCCGTGTGTCCCCTCCGGTGACCCTGCCCCGCTTAGCCCTGAGAGGACTTGCCCAAGACCAGTCACGGCTTGTCTGGAGGCTCAGCCGCCACCGCTGGGTTCTGGCTGTCCTGGATCAAGAGCTGTTTTTCAGGAAACATTTCAGATGCACAAAAGTGGACAAAACAGTGCGCCTTCCAGCATCTGTCACCCAGAGGCCCCGTTTCCAGGCCTTGGCCTTTTGGGGGAGGTTTGAGCGTTGGCTTCGTGGGTTGGCGAGGGGAATGTGGGTGACCAGCAGGGACACATGTGCTCTCTCCCTCCCTGTATGTCCTGGGCTGAGACAGGTCATCCAGCAGCTGCCCGGGGAGCCTCTTGTCCCTACCAGGTGTCATGGTTGGGGGAGGGCCCACGCCCAGGATGTTCCCGGCTCCCCCAGGTATGGCTGTCTGGGTGGGAGCTGGCCAAGCAGGTGGGTCACTCCCGGGCTCCCTGCCTGTCCCCGCAGGCGGAATTTGCCATGTTCAGCGGGACGCACGTGGAGCGCGACTTCGTGGAGGCGCCCTCACAGATGCTGGAGAACTGGGTGTGGGAGAGGGAGCCGCTGCTGAGGATGTCGCGGCACCACAGGACCGGCAACGTCATCCCGGAGGAGCTGCTGGAGAAGCTCATCAGGTCCCGGCAGGCCAACACAGGTGCCCCCCGCCGCGCCGCCCTGGCCCCCGCGACCCTGCGCGCACTCCGACCGCGGGTCGCAGAGCCAGCCCCTACCTCCTCCCGCCTAGGTCTCTTCAACCTGCGCCAGATCGTCCTGGCCAAGGTGGACCAGGCCCTGCACACGCGCATGGCCGCCGACCCAGCCGAGGAGTACGCCCGCCTCTGCCAGGAGATCCTGGGGGTCCCAGCCACGCCAGGTAGCGCTGCGAGCCCGGCCCACCCTCGGGGCGGGGCTCCTGTCATTCTCTGGGTCAGAAAGGACCTGGCGCCACGTGAAGGCACTAGGGTGGCCTAGAGGCCGGCTGACCGGAGCAAAGCAGGGCCCCCGGCCTCCCTTCTCTCGGCCGCAGGCCCTCGGCTCCCGCGGTGGGGGCTTTGCGTGCCCCTCCGCCTCCCCTGCCCGTGCTCGGGGCGCGCTCCCGCCTGTGGCCCTCTGAAAGGACGAGTGACCCAGCACGGGCTGCGACTAGACGAGGTTTCGGCGTGTGCCTGAGTGCGCATGCGCACGTGCGGGGAGGTAACGGATCTCGCATGGGCAGTGTCGCCCGGGTTGACTGTTTCATGAGCATTCAAAGCCTTCAAGAAGCGTTTTAGCTGACGCACACTCTGTCGTGTGAGCGAGCCTCGGCTTGCCCTCGGGTCTTCTGATGTTGCGCGTGCTGTGGCAGCCGCGTTGTCGTGAGTGCTGGGGCGTGGGGAGGTTGGTTGAGTCTCCTGGCACCTGCTTTCTGGAAGTGACAGGCCAGGTCCCCTCCTCTGAGTGGGGGTCTGACAGGGCTGCTTTGAAGCCTCCTCTCACGAGGGGGAGACCGGGGACCAGGCTGAGACACAGCGAGAGCCTCATGTGTCTGCCTAGGGACCAACATGCCTGCGACCTTCGGCCACCTGGCGGGCGGATACGACGCGCAATACTACGGCTACCTGTGGAGCGAGGTGTACTCCATGGACATGTTCCACACGCGCTTCAAGCGGGAGGGCGTTCTCAACGGCAAGGTCAGGGCTGGCCCTTGGCTGATGCCGATGTTTCTGCTGTCTAGGACTGAGGACAGCTGTCCTTAGCCTGCGGCCTCAGTGTCCCTGAAACCAGCCCAAAGCCCTCCTGGGCTGGGGGCCGGCCAGCATTCCGCTTTCTGTTCAGTCACACCAGAGGCTCAGCCACCCCCGTCCTGAAAGACGGCGACCTGCCCATGCTCACACGCACATGCAGGCGTGCACACATACTCGCCCTGAGATACCCGTCGCCCAAGCCGTCTGGGAGCTGGGGAGGGACGCCCAGGGACTCCAAGGAGCCGGCTGGATCGCAGAGGACCCTGGCCCAGCTCCACCCCTCTGCCCCCCCGCCCCCAGGTCGGCATGGACTACAGAAGCTGCATCCTGAGACCCGGGGGCTCCGAGGACGCCAGCGTCATGCTGAAGCAATTTCTGGGTCGTGACCCCAAGCAGGATGCCTTCCTCCTGAGCAAGGGCCTGCACGTGGAGGGCGCCGAGCCACTGGCCTGCTGACGCCCAGGGCTTCTGCGGCCCTGGACGGGGGCTCCGCTCCCGCCGCCCTGGTGCCTTAGCTCCCGGCCTGGAAACGGGCGGGAGAGGCGGCCCCCAGCTCGGCACCCCGGGGAGGGCAGGGCAGCGTGGAGAGGGGCTGTTCTCCCTGTCAATCCCCAGAGCCAGTGTCCGTGACCCCGCTCGGTGGCCAGCCTGGACTGAAGAGAGCTTGGCCCCGAGATGTCTGGAGGCCGCTGCTGTCCGGTCAGGGCCTCCTCTCTGTTGCACTGACACAGCCCTTCCTGGGACGTTCGCCCTCGTAAGGGACGGGTTTATCTGTGAAATGCAGCCATTAATAAAAGGAAAAGAGAGATTATCAGTTTGGCCTCCAATGTCTGCACCTCTGCCACACAACGGTGGCACGACGTCAGTTGTCACACTTGCGACTGGGTTCTGGTGTGCCTGTCGAGCCCTGAACTTGGCCATCAACCCTCAGGCTGGGAACGCGGGCAGTTGAAGGCTGCTCTCTGTGTGCTGGAACGTTCTGGACTGTGACTGTGGGTTGCTCAGTGATGGCAGAGCTGTCGGAGTCACTGCAGCCGGGGTGCCGGGGTCACTCACCAAGAGGTGTCTTTTCTGACAGCCCCTCACTCTGGGTCCTGGGAAGACTCCTGTCCACGTGTGGCCCTGGCTGATGTGGGACCAAGGCTGCCCGCCCTCAGCCCAGGGGGATCAGCGCAGGACCTCGACTCTTGTGATTTGGTGGGAGCTGGGTTCCGACTTGGGCACAGCTGCTGGGAGCTGGGCCGGGACTGTCCTTGTCCTCGTAACCTTGAGGACCAAAGGCAGCCAAGGCCTTCCAGCTCGCTGCTCAGCTCCCTCTGCTGTTAGCAACGTGGCAAAATCTGGGCCACGGGAAGGCCGGCCATCGTGGGCCCTCTGGAGACTGCGCAAAGTGGCTCTGCGGTGTCCTTGGTGGCGGTAGGAATCGGGTACTGTGCTGCGGCACCTGAGCAGCGCGTGTGGCTGCCCCCATGGGCTCAGGACAGCCCGCTTTTGTCCCTGGACTCAGCTCCTGCCTCCTGCCCTCAACCTCTCCCTCAAGTCTGTCTCCCGCAGAGGGTACCGGGCAGCACCTCGATCTCTCTCCTGAGGCCCAGGCCACCCGTCCTTGCCCACCCCGGCCAGGCGCGCTGTGGCCCGGCTGTGGCCCCCCTCACACAGACCCAGCTCAGCTCCCCGCGCCCGCGTCCTTTAAACTGGGGTGAGAGGCCGAGTGTTCTCACAGCTGGTCTTGTCCGGAGTTGGTGGGCGCCATGGGGCTGGAAGGTGGGGCCGCAAGGCAGAGGTCGCATGGGGTTCCAAGCAGCTGCCACTTAGGCTTAAACGGCCTGGGGCTCGAAAGAAAAAGGACAGTAGGACAGGCCACCCGCCTCCTGGTCCCCACAGATGTGCACTGTGGGGGCCCCCAAGTGGCAGGTGGGGTTGGAGGCGAATTGCCTCTGCCGCCTCCTCGCCCCGGACGCTGGTCCAGACCTAGTGCCCAGCTGAAGGGCCCGCCCCGCCCTCACAGGTCCCCAGAGGCTCAGGCCCACCCCCCCCGCCCACGCCAGCCCCCGTCTCTTCTCTGCCCAAGGACTTGGAGATGGGGGCATAGATTCTGGGGCCAGACCATCGCCCCATGGAGACCGTCATTCTCTAAGCCCCCAGGGTGCGGCAGGGAAGATGGGCACAGGGGCCCTGCCAGTGTTACGTTGCCCCGGCAACCGGAACAGCTGCTGTCTCACCCAGCTGCTCCGGGCCGGTAAATGGTCAGTTCAGAGACTGCACTGATGGCTCCCACCCCAGGGACACAGCTGGTGCCCGGTGCAGGAAAAAACAGCACAGTTGTCCCCGTCGCCCTGGGGCTGAGGGGTCCCCAGGAGCCCGTGGAGCTGTGGGAGTGTCTCGGACCCCTTGTCCTGTCCACTCCAGGGTTCTGATGGCTCAGAGGACAGCCAGGAATTAAGGTCCCTGCCAATCTGGGTTGCCATCCCCCATCCCTGCTGCTCCCCCATGAAGCAAACAGGAAAAGGGGAGCACTCTCAAAATGAAGAGACAGAGCTCATGCGTTTTAAGATGTTTGTACCATTTCTGTACAAACTTCCTCATTGGGTGTCGGTGACGCTGGAATGCGAAGGGGGGCAGCTGTGTGGCCCCAGCGCGCATCCTCAGGGGTCAGGCACGAAGGCCGCTGTCCCCTCTGTCCCGCCCGAACCCGGCCTCTGTGGCCGCTCAGCGCTGATCCCTCAGCAAGGGCCTCTCCAGCCCCTCACATTCAGGATGCTGGTGGCCTCAAGCAGCCTCACTCTTGTCACTCCTGAAGGGGACATGTGCTGCCAGTGGGACCCTGGGGGACTCTGACTAGCAGGGGTGGCGCACGCCGTTCCGTCCTCACCTTCACAGGCGGGCCACCTCAGGATCAGGGCCAGCGTCCACTCCTCAGTGTCCTCATCTGATAGTGCCGGCTAACGCCAGTAGCCTGGCAAGAGATGGCCACGTGGGGCTTCCCTGCTGAGAATGGCTCTCTGTCCTGGCACAAGCAACGTCGTCTCCCGAAGCTCCAGCTCAACCAGGTGTCACCAGGCAGCGTTGGGAGCAGGTCCAGCTGTCCCGGGTGGCCAGGGTCGGGGTGGACTGGCGGATGAGTGGGGCTCTGGTCAGGCTTCCGGCACCACCTGGCTGGGGCCGGGCTGGAGTCAGAGTGACTTCACTCTGGCTGTGCAGGGCCACAGGCCAGTGCCACACTCCTGTCCCCACATCCTGACCCTTCTGTGGGCATTCTGTCCAGCCCCCGACAGCTCACAGGGTCTGGGGTCTGCTCAGTCCTGGCAGAGATCACGTGCCCAGGTCAAGGCAGCCAGCGCGGGCCACCTCCCCGACCCTAGCATTCAGTTTGTAGGTGGACAGATAGTGCAGCCGGGCCTGGCGCTGTCAGGCCTGTGACTTTTGTTGAAATTGGGGAAAGAAATTCTTTTTTTCCCAGACTGGAGAAAACTGCGGGGAATATAAGCTGTTGGGCTAACACAGCCACCTGAAGAATGAGGCTGGGGGGGTGAGGGCTCCCCAGGATGCCTCTGTGCACCTCACCCAGGCCCCGGACATTGTGGTCAGGACCCAAGGAATTCCCTTTTCCGCCTAAGACAGTCTGAGTGGCCACCCAGAGTTCTGTCCTTGACCTTGTCCCTGACAGATCCCCCTGAGACAGGCGGGAGCTGAAGCTGGACTTGTCAGGACAGACTGCCCTCGTGATGCCTCCAAGGACTGTCCCCGGGGTGACTGTCTTGGATTGGGGACATTGAGGTCATTGTGGAGAGGGGGAGAGCCGGGTACGGGGAAGGGCGGTGCTGATTCTGGTCTGCGAGGGACTTAGCGGTGGGCGCTCGCTGCCCCTCAGCCAGGAGACACGGGACAGGACCCACCCAGGGCCGCGGCACCCAGGATCCGGCCGGAGACCCAGGGCTTCTGCCCCTCATCCAGGCTGAGTCGGAGGATCTCTATGAGCAGACCCGGAGGAGGGGACATAGTGTTTTGTTTTGTTTTGTTTTGTTTTTTAAACAGCTTTTGAGGTAAAATGTCCATAAAATAGATGACACTAAAGGGTACAATGTGGCAAGTTTTGACATTTGTCCATAATTACAAAACCAATGGCACAATCAAGGTGACCTGCTGGTCACTCCCAGTTTCCCCGGGCCGGTCTGTAGCCCTCCCACCACCTGCCACCTGCTTCCGTCACTCTAGACCTGTTTGAATTTTCTCGTTTTGTAGAAATGAAGCCACACACTGCCTCTTTATTTGTTGGTTTGGATCTGGTTTCTTACGCTGAGGGTAATTAATTTGAGATGTGTTCATGTGGGTCTCTTTTGCTTAGAGTCATATCCCATTGTATGGATGGATATTCGACTGTTCATTCATCTGCTCTGCTTTGGGCTGGGCTCAGGTTTGGGGGCGATCGTGAATAAAACCGCCGTGGTGGGGAACCAAGCTTTCCTCTTTCTTGGGTAAAGACCTAGAAGTGGCTTCTAGCTACTGTCACAGGGACGAGGCGGCACCTCATGTGGGTCCACTTTGCCTTTCCCTAATGACAAGTGATGTTGAGCATCTTTTCACGTGTTCATTTACCATCCACGTATCTTTGGTGAAGCGTCCAATGCCCTTACCCATTTCTATAGACTAAACAGAAAGTTCTTGGAATTATTTCAGTGTTTAAAAGACACCGTTTATAATAGTGTCAAAAACATCGAACGCCCAGGAACGAATACACTGGGTGAAAATATGCAACTGCCCTTCACCGAAACTCAAAACATGGTCGAGGGAAAACAAAAGAAGAGGTGAGTGAATGGCGGGATGAGCCACGTTTGCAGAGCCGGAAGGGGCGTCAGGTGCCCGCCCTCCCCGATGGACCTACACCTGCGATGTGACCCCCAGGGGAACCCCCACAGCCTTTTCTTTATTTGTAGAAACTGAGGAGATGCTTCTGGGACTTATGTTAAAATTCAAAGACGCAGGAATAGTAGGGCGACCTTGAAGCACACAGTGCAGTCTGAGGACATACTGTATTACAGAGCAAGACTTCTAGACAGCCACAGTGCTTAGGTGGGTTTTTGTCCCAGGGCGGGACGAAAGAGGCAGAGGTCCAGAAGCAGACCCGCCCGTGGCCCCGAGTGCTCGCCACCCAAAGACTCGTCTCCTCCGTCACCACGTGTGTGACCCCCTTTACCCTCATTGTCCGCCCCCACTCCCTTCCCCTCTGGTACCTGCCATTCCGTTGTCTGCGTCTGAGTTTGTTTTGTTTGTTTGTTCATTGTTTTCTGTTTTATATCCCACGTATGAGGGAAATCATACGGTTCTTGTCCTTTTCTGCCCGAGTTAGAGACGTTTAGATGCGCTGTTTCTTTACATTTCCAGGGCTACTGCCTTACTTCACATTCTTACCCTTCCCCGTCTCTCTCATTCCTTTTTCCTTTTTGGTCTGTGTAAAAACGAATAACTTTGATTTGGCAAAAGTCACCATACGCAAAATTAAAAGAACAAAACGAAACATTTAATGTGATTTTTAATAGGGTTAAGTTTGAGTCTATCGAACACCTGTTTATTTTCTTTCTTTTTTTATTTATTTAAAAATTATTTTTGTTGTTTATTTTCCATTCACTCCCGTTTCCCCGTTTCCCTCCTGTTCTGCCTTCCTTTGCAGTAATCAAGTATTTTTTTATGATTCTATTTCCTTATCGATTTATTAATTATAACTCTGTTTGGTTATCTAGTTTGTTAGACCCATCGGGGATGATAGTATACGTGTCACTTGTCACAGATGACCTTCCCGGGATATAGGACTGCGCAGATAATACCCTTACAATAGCACATTTCCGAGTCTCCCTCACAGGATTAGCATCTTCACGCGATGGTTGTCATGCCTTTGACTTTCACGCTTGGTACGAAGCCCTCCACACACTTCTGTCATTTTCGATCGCGCAGGGCTGAGAGCTGATGACTAGCAGCGGTATTTCCAGCACAAGGAGGACAGGGGCCTTGGGTTTGAAAGGAGGCAGCCGGCAGCACTGCGTATCTTTCCCATCGTGGGCTAAGACTGGAAGAATCGCACCGAAAAAGTTGGGCTGGAAAACTGTTTCGCACGTGGTCTTAGTCTGTGTGGGTGGTGGCTTAACTCACAGTGCTGAGAGTCAGACATCGGGGCGCAGGCATGCTGGTGGCAGGCAGCTCACTTCTCATGTGTCCTCACCAGAGGGAAGGGGCGCAGGAGGCCCCCTGGGGTCCTTTCTTTAAGGGCACTCAGTACCATCACGGGGCTCCACCCTCATGCCCTAATCATCCCAACGTCCTCTCCTAAGACTGTAACCTCGGACACCAGGCGTTCAACTTCTGGTTTTGGGGGGACACATACATCCAGCGTGCAACGCACACCTGTTCACCGTTGCGGTGGCTTGGGACAGAGGGCACATTCAACCCTCGGAGCCTTCTACCCGATGTCTGCTCTATTTAAACCAGAGTCCTCGAGGACGAGACGCCCAGTCTAGGCTTGGGACAAGTAAGAGGTGGCCCTGGAGAAACGGTCCTGAGCACCTGCTGAAACTATGACAAAGTCACAGTCATAGGTTTATGATTATACATCACAAGTGCCAAGAGGTCATTGTAACTGTCGGCTTCTCTCCATTTCCAGGGGCCCCATTTCTTCTCTAATAGTAAGCATGCAGCTGGGGGCTTGGGCAGGGAGAGAGAGAACACATGGTTTGGCTAAATACTTGTACTAACATATAATTTATTATATACTTATGTAACTTATCAATAAATAACTTATTAGATGATTACACTTTACTATATAATATTTAACTACATATCATAAATTACTATATGATATTTAACTACATATCATATATTAAGAATATATTATTAACATATGTTAACATATTAATTACGGTAGTTTTATTATTTTAATAGAATATTAACATAAATCAATATATTAATATTACTAATAAATAGTAAAACAATTTTACTAAGTATATAATGGATTACATGGTTTTATAGTTTTTAAATAAAAAGCAATGATAATTATCTTAACGGCATCGTGCTAAATACAGGACTTGCATTTTCTGCCCTGTTTAAGGACGGCCGGCGTGTGAACTTGGGGCCCGCTCCAGAGGACAGTCAGTCCTGCGGAGACACCGCCCGCCCGCAGAGGGCGCTGCGCCCGCACTCACTGCTCTCGGGGAGGGACGCGAAGCCCAGCGCGGCGCCGGGAGCCTTCCTCGTGCGCAGGCGCACTGCCGA